AAACAGAAACTTTTAATTAATGATATAGCATGTGTCAAAAACAGGCGAACAATATATAAAATACCTATTTAAAATTAATATAACTTGATCCATAGGCAAGCTATAGAATATTTGCTGCTTTAGTGTCATTACACAACTAAATAGTTCTGTGAAAAATCTCAGAACTCCTTAAGATACTGAAACTTCCAGTATTTATATATTTAATTTTCCATATTCAATAGCAAGAATATACAAGATAATATGAAAAGGCTCATATGTCAGCATAAATTAAAATGCAGAACATTCTTTTAATATAAATAAATGTGGTTTCATTAGTATTAAAGACTTCCACGAGTCTACCTAAGATGTAACTGTATATTTCTTAAATAAATTCAATTGAAAGGCTTTTTGCTTGTGAAATTCTAAATGTCATCAAAATTAAAATTACAGTTATCAAGCTATAAATTAAAAAAACCCTAAGGAAGTACAGTTATTGTCAATTCAAGTACAAAGTAACTTAAAACTTCCCTTTTGAATAACATACCATGATACATATACAAAGAGTACAGGAACATAATAGCCCACAAAATCCCCTCAAATGTCTTGTCATGCTTTCAATACAGCAAACAACATGCCACTTAGAAGGTTAAAGAAAATAAAATTAGGGGAAATGCCATTTCCTACAACAAAAGACACAATGATATATCTTATAGTAATTCATAAAATAATCTACAAATTCATGAAAACAATTCATGAATTCAGTAATTCATGAAAAAATCTACAAGTCTATAATTATAATTAAATAATTATATACTATGTAAGACAGCTATTCAAAACACCCTATTTTGAATTCTTTAAGTAAATATTAGTCCTCTATTCTACCTTTTCTAAAAATGTGCTATATCAAAATCTGTGATAAATTAAACTTCTATGTTCTAAACAAAGATACACATGATAATATACATAGCATTTACTTCAAGAAAGGAGAAACTTTACATAAACATATGTCAAGTGTGTTACATTAAGTAGTGTGCCTGCTTCACAACAGAAAACTAACCAACAAAATCTCTTTAATATAGTTAAACCATCTTATGATGCCACATTAAGTAATTCCTCCTGAGCCCAAAGCTTGTTGATCAGTTTCTTTCGTTTGGTAGGGCAAAATCCTTGGCAATAAATTCTTATTGAACTTTGTTTACAAACAAATTTACTCATCTTCCTGATATTCCCCTTCCTGTATTTGAAATGTTTTAAGTCGACTCATTATACAAAATGCATGCATCTACAATGACATCATTTTATTTCCCATTACATTAACGATTCTTTTGCTAACTCCCACAACCCACCTGAGTAGTAGAAATGGTTGTCCACCTTTGTCAAAAAGTAGAAAAATTCCAGCCACAGCTATGTTGGAGCAGACCTATATTTTTTACAACATAAACTTTACTCTGCAAAACTTTTAATATTTTATGTAAGGCAAGTATAAGACAGCACCTAAAACCAAATATTTGTATTCTTGTATTACATAGGAATAAGGAATGAACAGGAAAAAAGAAACATTTTGACAAAGGTGACTATGACAAGGGTACTGCTTAAAGGAAAAACTTTTCAAGTTCACTAGTTTCTTTTTTCTATCATATAGTGCACTGTGACAGCTATTGCACTATTTTCAACTTACAGATTTCTTTTAACATTTTAAATTAAGACTAAAATGTAAGAAACTAATTTTAGAAATAATATTAAAGGCTTCCAACCTCTAACAAGTCACTTTGTGCCCTAAATGAACTTCAGTTGTTTTGTTACTTACCAGATAGATAAAGTTTTGTTAATTATTTTTAAATTGTTATGATCTCCAAATATAATTTTGAAAATGAGCTTAAATTTTCACGATAGTATTCATCATGAGTGTTTTGAAACAATAAAACCCTAAACCTAGAATTTATTAAATCTTACACTTCAAGTGACTATTTCTATTCTATAATTAGTATAATTAGCAAATGAATAATAAACTCCTTTTGTCATTCATCCTTTGCCTCAAAAATTTCCTCTAAAAATTGATTGCATTCTCTAAATATATACAAAGAAATTTTACCTAACTTTTTTATTCCAAAAATCAAGGCAGGTACAAGGTCTTAAGTGGATACAGGGATATCCATTTGGTATTACCATATTTGTAAAGACTCTAAGATTAAAAGTAATGTAACTCTAAGATTAAAACAACGTTTGCATACCTCATGGTAGATTTTCATTGCACTGAAGAGTTAAATGTTTTTACCTCAAGAGAAATATTTCACTTCCTTACTCAGACTGCTATATCTAAAGAACCCCCATCTGTTAAAACGATCCAGCATACATCTCTTCTGCTGCAGAACACAAGCTAGTTACACATTCAAATCAGTTTCCAGCTTGTGAAAGCTCTACTGCCTCTTATCAGGTTATGATGGACTAAGTACACATACAAATACTATTATCACATCATCTAAAGTAAAAATGATATTGGTTAGAGAAAAAGTGGGAAAAAAGCTTAAAATGTGTTCCTTTAAATATTTGGAAATACAGTAATAATACTATGCTAACATATATTTTGAGATTTCATCTTTTTAGAAAGAAAAAAAGGCAAGTACTGACCTCTTATTGGCAACTAGTTAAAATAAATAACCCAAGAAAACTATTTTTGAGTGTTCTGAAAAGAACTGGTAATATCAACAAGATGACATTCTTCCAAACTTACACTGACTTTTTAGTGACTTATTTGAAGGGTACAGAAAAGTAGGAAAAGGTGTTTTGTATTTAAACAGTAATAAAAATACCAAAGTAAAGACAATCTTCTAGCTTTGACCTGAAACACTGGCAAAAAGAGGGGGGAAAAAAAAAAGCTTCAACTTTTGTGTGAATTTAAAAGGCTATACACCATAGACATTATCTAATCCATGTCTCAGGACACCACTACTGTTAGCTGCAGCTTTCTTTCAATAGATGAAGTAAAAAATAACTGCTTAGCGGAAAAATCAGACTGCATGGGTGTTATAAAATCCCCTGGCAAGCATATTTTTATATTGCTATGATTCCACACCAAGTACAATAGTCAACTGATTGCTCCTGATTTACACCTTGCCGTCCCAAACCCAAATTTACAGTATGTCAAAGACTAGATATTGCAGAGGGAACTGTTTTAAAATGCTTTGCTGCAGCAAAAACTGCATTTACAAAGCACTAAAAATGAACTACTCTTAATTATGCTCTGTTATGATTCTCCTCTCCTTATTTCTTCCCCCTTTCTTTCCCTGACATCTTGAACGCTTCTCCTGTAGATAACGCAAAACATGAAGTCATGCACAGTTCTGCGGTAACTCTTATCCTGAAGGAAACCAAAACCTTCACTGCATTTAATATCTTTGCTTTAGTCTTTATCCACGAGTCACTCTCCTGAAGGCAACCATAGAAACAAACCTGTATGATTTGGTGCCTCACATTTAACACGTTGTGTACATAGGGGGAAAAAAAAAAGACTAAGAGACCAACATATTCTGGGCAACATTACAAAGAAGGGAAGACTGCCTTAAGGGCGGGGGGGGGGGCCCGGATACTGGCACAACACTCTCCATCACGGCTTCGGAATATATTTAAAGACAGATGCAAAACTGCATCATTTTCCTTCCTCCCTCGAAAACATCACACCCCAGCTGCTCAAGTCGGAGCTAATGCGCTTCTCACATTTCAGTAGCACGGGGGAATTTAGGCTCCAGGGGCAAGGTTGTCATCGCGGGAGAGCGACACCACGGACGATCAGAGTGTGGGAGGAGAAGGAGCCCCGGGGAACCAGAGGTCTGTCCCCACGTCCCCTAACTAAACTCTAAAGTCGATCCACCACCGATTGACTGGCAGCCAAAGAGAAGTGATGAGAAGCTGTGTTAAGTTGGGCACTGCGCTCAGGTGGCAGGAAAGGACCGAGCAGAGGACGCAGGGTGGCCTGGCTCTGGCAGCGCGCGGGCAGGTCACCTACTGGGCAACACCCGCGGAGCGAGCCGTGCTCCCGGGACGCGCGCCGTGGGTGACCCCGGGGTGCAGGGATGGGGGGCGGCAGGGGGCGCTGGGAACCAAGAGGGGGGAGGGCTGGGGGAACTGGGGACGCCTTTTCCCTTACCAGGTTGAGCACTGTCTCCACGATGTCCCTGTTGCTGACCTCTCCGACCTGTATGAGTCCGATCAACACTGCAAATTTCATCCGGATGTTGCGGATCGGCACCGAAGGGTTAATCATCCCCGCGGGGAGCACCACCGGAGCCGGAGCCGGAGCCGGACGCCCCCCTCAGCTCCCCCATCCCGCTGCTGCCCCCGCCGCCGCCGCCGCCACCACCACCACAGCCGCCGCCGCCGCCGCCAGCGCCGCCACCGCCTCCGCCGCCTCCGCTGCCGGCCCCGACGGCGATGAGCCCCACGGACTGAGGCTCGAGCCCCGGGCCCGGGCCCGGCTTGTCGCTCGCCATTGACCCCCCTCCTGAAGGGAAGGGAAGAGCAGCGGAGCCGCCTCCGCCGCTACCGTTATACCTGCTCGGCCCCCGCCCCCCGGCCGTCGCCTCGGAGCCCCAGCATCCACCAGCGCCGCGGCGCCGGGCCCGCTCCCGCCTGCGCCTCAGCCCGGCCCGCTCGAGCGCTCTCCCGGCCGAGGCTCGGTGGTGGTGCGGCGAGGGCGGGGGGGATTCGCAACCTTCTTCCCGGCGGTGGCGGCGCCGCTAACCACTGCCCGGCAAGCGGCGGTGCCCGCCCAGCAGCTGTGCCGCTGCCGCTGCCTCCTCTCTTTTTCTCTCTCTCTCGCTCTCCCCCTCCCGCTCTGTCCGGCTCCGGCCCGCCCCCCCGCGGAGATGCTGCCGCCGATCTGAAAAGCCCTAGGCACGAGCGGCTGGCCACGGCGCTGGCCGGCGCGGAAGCTCAGGCTGTGGCCGGCGCTATGGACGCTGCTGCTGCCGCTGCTACGGGCGCCACTGTTGTTGTGAAGCCCCGACGCCGCCGCTCACTCCGCCATGTTGCCGCCCCCTGCCTGCGGTAGCGGCCACTGCGCCTGCGCAGAGCGCCCGGGGGTGGAGTCCTGGCTGCACCCCTTCTCTTCGCCCTGCCTCCTTCTGTTCCCCCCACCCACCCCGGCACCCCCTCGTCCCTCCTCCCAGCCACCCCGAACGGACAGACAGGTGAGCGGGTGCATGGGGACAGCTGCCAGACATTGGAGCCGACTGGCAGAGGCGGGGCGGGTGGTGGCTTCCTTGTGGCTGCTCCCTTGAGGGTGGACTCTCCCTGAGGGGAAGGACACTGAGTGCGTGTCTGGCCTTCGCTGCCACCACCTCCTCCTTCCCTCTAGGTCGTCTTGCTAGGAGGAGGTTCATCATACATCGGCCTTGTTGCATCCAGCTGCCTCTACCGCCACGTGCCCCGTAAGGTAGGGGAGTGGCAGACGACCTCTTTCTGCCGCTCTTTGCCCCTCCTCGCATTCCGTCCGTCTGTCACCCCCAGCACACACACACACACACCCCGAAATTTCCCAAAGGAAAAGTGGCTGGCAGAGCAGAAACACGCCCAGAAGGGCCGACGATCCTACATTGCTGGGAAGGATACAGATGGACAGCAATGGGTTTTTTCCCCTACAGCCATGAAAGAGGCTGACACCTGCACAAGGCGCAACTTAAAACAGAACTTGTCAAACCGTGATCCGAACTCGCCTCCCATCCTAAAGGCGGCCCTCTGTGATACTGTGCAGTTGTTTGGAGACAGCAACAAATCCCACACTTTAAAAAAAATCCCTAACGATTCCCAGGTATGATGTCAATGATGCCTCCCTTTTCATAGGAGTGAATGGGGTCAGAAGATTTTTGAGATTATCTAAAAATATGGGCGATCCTTACTGTCAGCCTTATTCACTTAGAAGAGTAGATTCTTGATGTCTACATAGATACAGAGTTTTTTTTTTAAAAAAAAAGGTTTTTAATTTAAAAAATTAACGTGTACATAGTAATCTTCCTGAGAATATTGAATGACAACTAAGTAAACATGACTTCTGCTTTCTTCCCTGTAATGTTTTTCTTTAGTCTTTCATGAGGTCTGCCCTTTTCAATAAAAATGTATTATAAGCCTCCAGAAATATGTAGGTATCTTAAGGTATATTCAAATCATTTTAATTGTCACCTCAAATGGAAAAAAAGGTCAATATACAAATCCATCAAATCTGGTTTGTTACTAATCATATTAAACTAGACTTACTAATCAACTTAACTCCCAGAATACAAGGGACATGGAAAAATTCTGAAGTACACAGATTATAGCAAAGTTCCTCAAAACAAGTGATTAGGATTACTTCTGATTTACATGTTTGTTTGCCTGAACTTCCACTGAAGTGATTGAATTGTTAATCAAAAATTTTTGAAAGAAGTGTTAATTGGTATGCCCATTTAAATGAAATAGCGATGGAATTATAAAAGTGCTAGCATGGTTGTAACTGTTTCAGAAATTTGCAAAACACGTAACTTAATAGTGTGATTTGAGATACACTGTAATTGAAAAACTCCTCCCATTCAGACGTTCATATCTATCTCCAGCATTTTTGTCTGTTTCAGGTGAGTTGAGTATCATCTACTTCTATGAGAACTATTCCATTTGCAAATTTAAAATGGCATATCTTTTTTATTTCCCCCCTAAAATGATATGTCTTTTTTAAATATATAAATCCAGACTGAAAGGTCACCACACTGTTTTTTACATATACATATACGGCACAGGTTCTACCTACTATATTTTAAACTTACTGCATAAGTGCTTTGTGAGAAGTGACAACCTGAACTTTCCATTTCCTTTCTGAATGAATAACTTAACATCATTTTACCATTTCTGTTTGAAGTTTCCATATTTTGTTTCTTAAGCAACATGTGAATGCATTTTGGCTTTGTTTCTTTTTTTTTGTTCAGTTTTTTTTTTTAGTGGAGATTAGGAAATGGGTACAGAGGACATCACTATTTCAAAGTAAGAAAAACTCACTTCTTTTGCATACTGAAATCAGTTTCAGAGATATTTAAATGAGCTTGCCAATTAAAGTGTTCTATAGACTGCCAGCTCCTCACAGACAGTATGACACTATGGGAAATGGACAGGGCTTTGAATCACATTCATAACTTTCTATCTATGCAGTCTACTCAAATCATTTGAACTTCAGTATCATCATTTCTTAATTAGATATGATAATACCTGTCCCATGGGGAAGTGAGTTCAATGAAGTAATTTCAACTCAACAACTAACATATAGTAAAAATGTCTTTGTATCTTTAGTATGTAGGCACAATATGTGTTGAATGACCTATAAACACATGAAAGAGCAATCGTAACCATACAAAACCTTTATAATTTCACAGTTACATGTTCTTCATACTATCTCCAAAAGCATAAAGTTTATAAAAGGCCACAGATATGTTTCCTTTTGGCTTACAAAGCCTATTTCCCTGCAAATGCACAAGTAACTTAATATTTACAGTCATAATATTTTGAAATAAAAGATAGCTGTTTAATAATAAAAGTGACCTAAACTCCTCACTTTTAGATCTGCAGATTAGATCATATGTTGTATGGTGAATGTTAATTTTGTATACAATTTTACATACCCATACTTGCAAAGGACAACCCTTCAAAGCTAAGGATTCCGTGAATTGAGTTCTAAGAGGCAATGTTGCATTGTGGTTGAGCATGCATTCTCCAGATTCAGTGGAACCTGGATTTGGATTCCATTTCTACCACCCATTTCTATGTGCAATGTTGAGCAAATGACTGAGCTTTAAAGCCTCAGTTTACCCAACCTAAAGTAGAGCTAATGCTACTATTTCCTACGGTTACATCAGCTAATACACTTAAGATATTTAATGTGGAACAACAATCGATGTTTCTATTCATTGGCTGTGGGAAAAGACCATATTATAAGCTATTTTTTGTGTTTTCTGCATCTAACATGTCTGGCTTGTAATTTACACTTATAAATGTGTTTTAAAATGAATGGATAAAAACAATACTTGAAACTAATTATTCCCCTCACCTAGTCTTTAAAGAACAGATTTCTTGCTTTTGTAGGAACAGAATACTCTAAATTTTAAATGGAAATAAAACAAGAGAAACTGTTACCTATCTCTCAACCTTTAGAAATACAACTCCTGTTGGTACAACCCCAAATTTAGATTTGTGTGGGTTAGTTTGGTGTTTTTCAGCAGAATGACACTAGTGATCATATAATTTAATAATGATTCATGTTTGGCATGTAGTAGGTTCTCAAATGATTTTGTTTCCATTTCCCACTGGTGTTGACGTTATTATCAACCAGAAAAGCCAAGATTTTTGGGGGAGGGTTGTTTTGCTTGTAGACAACAACTTATCTCTAAAAGTTATCTTTAATGGAGATTTTTAGATATAAAGTACAGAATTTTACACATGTATTTAAATTTGAATTTATTTCATTCAAATTTTCTACTTAAATTTCATCTGCTAGAAATTTCTTAATCTTGAATATATTTTACAAATATTTTTGTCTTCTTATGTGCAATTTTGAGAACATTCCTTCTATATTTTCAAAAAATTCCAAATATCTCAACATGATAAAAACAGCTCAGAATTTACTAGTAACATTCTAGTTGAAATCATCTCATATATTTTCAATATGTGATGGGTCCCACCCCATCAGAGGCATGGAATTGATGTAATGGATTACAACCAGCAATTTTTCTTTTAATGGGATAAGATGGAAACACACAAAATGAGAAATATCAAAATGCATCTATTTAATGAGAAAGAGTTTGACTTATTAATGTTGTTTTAATTATAAACATACATTTATACATTATATGTATGTGTGTGTATGTGTATATATATATATATATATATATAACCATATTATGTAATGATGTAATTTTTAGTTTGTACGCAAGCCATGATCAAAAGTTTGATTTATGTTGTTTATAATCTTTGAACTATTAGTTAGATTAGCCCATATTTCTCCAACTGGTCCAATAGACACTGGTTAGCTAAAGTCTAAATATAATCTGTCTTTATATGTGAACAAAATTAAATGAAAATGTAGAAATGTGAATTATTCTTGGTTTTGGTGATATTAAGTTAACTGCTTGGGGATTGTTAGGAATTTACCTCCCTTTGCCTTTAGAACTTCAGTCCTCTGTTACTGCTTCTCTATAACTCCTCAAAAAACATTGGGAGTTGTTGGCTATTCTGGCTTTCAGGTTCTTTCAGGATCAATAGATACAATCCGTCCTGCCTTGGAGACATGAGAAGTCATTTAGACTAAATAGGTACCTATTTTCAATTTCATCAAGCTTAAACTTCAGTTTACTCCAACAATTCTTAGGTCTACCTTTTTTTTTCTCTCCACTAATTTTTCTCCTAAATAGAGAACAGACAAATACAGAAATTTAATTATTTGTTATCTAACTTGACCCATTCTTGGAAAGGCTAAAATGTTGCTACTTACCAACCAACAAATATTTGAGTACCTAGTATGTGCAAAATCCAGGCTAACTGAAATAATTTTGAGCTTCCCACTTAGAGAAATATTATCTTTACACATACAAAGATAATTAGCAAGTCAATACATGAAAAATGTTAAGTAACATAAAGTACTCTAGAATCTCAAAGAACAAGAAATAGTACAAATACCCTAATGCACACATGTATCCTCAAGCATCACATAATTATACACACAAATTTACCACACACACACACACACATCTATATTGCTGTGTCCCAAAGAAAATATGTTCAAGTCCTACCTTCCAGTACCTGACAATGTGATCTTAGATAGAAATAAGGTGTTTATAGATGTAGTCAATTCAGATAAGATACACTGGAATGAATTGGGCCTTCATTGAATATCGTTGGTGTCCTTAGAGGAATAAAAGAGACACAAACAGGCACACAAGGAAGATGATGTGAAAACAGACAGGGAAAAAGGCCATGTGAAACAGGCAGTCATTGAAGTTTCTCCACTGTAAGCCAAGGAAAACAGGATTGCTGGCAACCACCAGCAGCAAGGAAATATTTTTTCTTTTTCTTTGACCCTATTGATATCTTGACTTTTGACTTCCTGCTTCCAGAACTGTAAGAGAACAAATTTCTGTTGTTTTAAGCCACCCCCAATTTGTGGTATTTTTTTCAGCAGCCCCAGGAAACTAATACACATACATGCAACGTAAATGTATGTTATTTTATTCTCACCCCAAAAACAGCTGATATGTGTAAGTATACCTGGGTCATTTCTAAAATTTCTGAGGTCCTAAGGTTGAAAAACAAAGCTTTAGCCAACCTCAATTCTTCTGTTCCCAATGAATATGTTATTCTCTCCTCCCTTGGTGCATTAGTCACACACTTCTATCCAGAGCATTCTTTTCATCTCCTCCTGAAATTCCTATCAGTATAAATTCCATGTTCATGAATACACTCATGGTCCCACCTAAATAAAAATGATCTGAAATGTTGTATCCATTTGTAGCTTTTTAAAAGAAATGAGTCTGACTTTTCTTTTCACATAACATAGGTTGACAAATTTCCACCTAAATAAAATAAATTAATAGTTTATATCTCCTCTGCCTTATTGGCCAAGAGTAAGAAAGAACATTCCAATACATATAGTCACCTACATAATACTTTCACTGAAATTTGACAAGACAGAATCAATCAATGTGTGTATATGTTTAATGTTCTCACACTAACAAACATTGAACAGTAAGTTTCTTTTTCTTTTGCACAATGACATCTGTTGCACTATATTACCATTGGGTTTGGTATACATGTGCTACAGAAAGAAATGTGTATTAAAAAGAAAGTTTGATCATTGCTACTGGCTGGTTATTGTTAACAATTACA